ACTACTACTACCACACACACACACACACACACACACACACACCTGGCCTTCAAAGTTCTCCTTGTTCTAGGCAATTTGGACAGCTCCATGTTCCCTATACTGCAAACATGCCTTATGGTTCCTAACTGTGTGCTACTGCTCCCATTTTGACTTTCTCTGAAATGTCTGTCCCCTTTCATGCAAAGACTCATACCTTTTATTTAAGATTCAGTTCAAACATCGATGAAAAGATGTGGGCTAGTTGTCGTAGGAATGTATAAGTTGATGAGAATGTGGAGAGTAGAAACAAACAAGAAGTGTCAAATCCAGGAATCGTGTAAAGATAAAAATGTATTTGGTCGCCATGTCTTTCAGAGGCTTTATTAAACAGATTACACTAAGGTAGGACTTATCCCATTATTATTACTAAAAAGTTTACTGAACTCAAACAGGAGCTTTATCTCAAACCTAGGGCTGTCAATTACACATGCTACAGCTGTTCTTCATGAACTGAAATAATGAAGAATTGTCTGTACTTTAACTATTTGATGTCCACTGTAATTATTCCCCCTGTAATGGCCTGAGCCAAATTGGGTTGAGGAGATACTGGAGGCAAGACAGGCTGTAGAAACATGGAACTGCTGAGTCCTGGGCTGTCACCACCACTGGTAATACCTATTCAGCTTTAAGATGCCAATCGAAGTTATTATTAAAGATCTACCACATGCCCAGGATTTCTCTGAGGTAAAAGCAAAGCTGAAATTCACAAATTTTACATCTTTCTTCCTTCAGTCCTTCCCCGATGATTAAAGTCAAATAAAATGCTTCAAGTGCTTGCATTTTTGAGGGGAGAATCATAACGATGAGCAAGTGATCAAGTAATTCCTTTTTCCTCGAGTGTCAGATACGAGGTTGAAGTTAATAGTAAATGAAGAAAAGGTTGGCCCAGCCCTCTGGTCACTGGCACCAACTTCTCTAGGAAGTTAAAAGATTTTGAGTTATGGAGAGCCTAAATCCTCAGGAGAGGTGAAAAGGAAGGAGGGAGGGAAAGATGGCGGAAGAAAACTGCCAAAGGAAAAAGAATATCAAAATAGCTGAGATTATCCACACATGGCCTGGAGGACTTCTGTGAACCCCATCTGAGTATCACCATCAGATCCTCGGGCCTACCTCAGACTCACTGAATCAGTCACTGACGGGACAGTCCGGGACTCGGCATTTTCATGGGTAAACCGGTGATTCTGGATTCACCGAAGACTGAGGACCCCTGTTCTAGTGTCCGCCAACTATGGCCAGCAGGCCGAGTATAGCCTTTGAGTTAAAAGTGGTTTTCACATTTGTAAAGAGCGGTGAAGAAGAAGAAGGAAAGAAAGACAGACAAGAAACGAAATAGAAGATTATGGAACTCAACCCAGAAAGTGTGAAACATTTACTAGCCTAGCCTTTTACTAAAAAGTTTTTTGACCCCTGTCTAGCGCACCACAAATAAAAGGCTGTGTGTGAATTTAGCCCCATCTCAACCTCAACTAAAATAACTGATGTAGCAGGCCTTAAAAAAAAGAGAGAGAGAATGGGCCAGGGATTTAGCTCAGTGGTTCCGCCGCCTGCCTCTAAAGCACAAGGTTCCAAGTTTGATCCCTGGTACCAAAAAAAAGAGAGAATGGCGAAATATATAAAATTGTCATCTAAAAATGCATTTGTAATAATTACAAGAAGGAAAAACTATATGAATAAAGTTACAATAGGCATTCTGCAAAGTCTTTGAAAACGTATTTTCATCTATCCATGAATTTTGAGACCATTTGATTTTACGCTTCCATACTTATCAGAAGCAATGTAAGACAAATTAGCTATGTAAAATTATCAAATATATATTCTTTATTGAAGTTCATCTTTCCCCATACATATTATTGTCATATGAGGAAAAAATGTAAAACTACAAAGCAAAATGTCTGAGGAGTAACAATATTACGAATTTGCAAAACAATCCATATGAAAATGATGTACAAAGGGTATAAAGAAAAAGTTGAATTTAGTAACTTTTTACTTACAGAGTTTCATAATCATAAAGTAGTTCCACCTCCTAAGAATTTTGAGAAACAACTATTAACTTTCTTTAGCAAGGATGTGGAGACTCATTCTTTGTTTAAGAGGCTCAGCAATTAGAAATCATGCCAGTTGATTCATAAAGTAATCTTAAGGCAAAATGTAGCTCCTTTAGGGGTAGTTTCTACATGTTTGTCATGAATATTTTAATTTTTACTTTATTTATTTTTTTGTGGTAACGGGGATTGAACTCAGGACCTTGAGCTTTCGAGGCAGGCTCGGTGCCACTGAGCTAAATCCCTGGCAGTGTCATTGATATTTTTAAAATTTTATTTTTATGTGAAGAAACTTCATTATAGAATCTAGAAATAAATATTGGCTTTAAACATATATTCACGTGCAAATGACTTGCCTTTTGGAATTGTGGACTGAAATATCTCACAATAATTTTCTCAGTTATTTTCTCATAAAGGACTATTAAAGCCTTACCGACAACATGTTTTGATAAAGATTTAAACTATATAACAAATTGTAAGCAAGTTTCAAACACCAGATAGTCTTGAAACTTAGCGTGCTTCACCATTTAATAAAATTATGACTCATTTTAGTAAGAACATGCTTTTTTAGTAAGAAAAAATGCTTTCTGAGCTAAGTTTGAACTGCTGAGGCACACGGGACACCCACAAACCCACTCAGCAAGAGTCTCAAACTCCTAAAAGATTAAAGGAAAAATAAACTAGTGTGTATAGAGAATGTAAAAAAAAATCCCCAATGCTACTAATCTATAAACGGAAGTAAAACTAAAACTCCCCTAAAATCCCCCAATCATCAATCCTTATAAATTCAGCACTTCTCTCTTTACTGTCTCCGGAGCCCCTGGTAAACCAATATGAAAGTCTTTGCTCACTTGCAAGCTGGTAAAATCGAGCCTCCAAATTACACTAACCACGGACACTGACCTCGGTCATCAGTATTTAACTTTAAAAACCTTGCTGCAAACGTGAGATTTCCTGCGTTCTCCTGGGGGCGGGCTGTTTGGGGTCCGTGGACTTTTGCAGGTGCGCGATCCGGGGCGCGCCACGCGGGGGGCAGAGGAGCGTGGTGGGCACCGCCCGCGCGGGGCGGGGTAGGTGGGGCCGGGAGTGTGCCCGGGTAAGAAAGGCATGTGACAAGACGACGATGGCTTGTGGGCTTCAGGAGCCCAGAGGGGAGCGAAAGCTGGGCCAGGCGGTCCTTATAGGCGAAGGCTGATAGCCACAGCTCCACGCGAATTTAAGTATCCTTTGTCATGAACAAGTAAATTGAAGATGTTCTTTAATGTAAAAAAAGACCTAGCCAAACACCTTTAAAAAAAAATAGATCCCATCCTCTATTCAACCTCCTCCCCAATTCCTCTATCTACAGAGGGCTGTTTTCAACCCTGCCCGAAATCCAGTCCCCTAAACGGGCGCTTCCCCCTCCCCACCCCCGCCCAGTGAGCCAGAGCGCGGCGGGCTCAAGTTCGGGTGCGCGCCGAGCGGGGCGCCCCGGGGCCGCTCCCCAGGAGGAGGGGAGGCGGCGTCAGACCCGCGCCTCCGCGGCCCGGGAGCGGGGTTTGCGCAGGAAAAGGCGCCGCTGCGGTCCCCGGCCACCCCTCCCCGGCCTGGGCGCTGCGCCCGCGCGCCGCCTGCGTCTCAAGGCGCGCCAGGAGCCGCGCGGCGGCGCGAGAGCCGAATTGGAACGACGGCCCGGAGACCCGGCGGTCGCGCGGGCTGCAGCCAGGGCGACCGCGGAGGCGGCGGGCAGGGCGCGTGCGCACTGCAGGGGCGCCAGATTTGGCGGGAGGGGGAGTGTCCAAGGCTCTTTGTTTGATGGCATCTCTGTTTACAGAGTTTACACTTTAATATCAACCTGTTTCCTCCTCCTCCTTCTCCTCCTCCTCCGTGACCTCCTCCTCCTCCTCCTCTTTCTCCTGAGAAACTTCGCCCCGGCGGTGCGGAGAGCCGCGGCGCAGCCGGGGAGGGAGGCAGGCGAGGCGGCGGGCGGCGGGAGGCAGCAGCCGGTGCGGTCCCCGCGGCTCTCGGAGGAGCCCCGCGCCCGCCGCGCCATGGCCCGAAGACCCCGGCACAGGTAACGGGGGGTCCGGGCGGGCGGCCGAGGGCGGGGCGCGCGGGGCGCTGGGCGCCTGGAAGCAGGTGGGTATTCGTTCCCGGATCTTGTGCGGGGCTGTCAGATCCTGCGAGGACCCGGAGCCCCTGCCTGGGCCGCAGAAACCGCTGGAGAGCCAGATGAATGGGAGTCTGCGGGAAACGTACCGGGACGCTGGGAAGCATGTCCTGCGGCTCATTTTGCAAGTTGCACGGGGATCCCTTTCTCCGCAGAGGGGAAAAGGCAGCCTGTTCCAGCCGGGGAGTAGAGCGGTGCCCACCCGCCCCAGGGAGCCCACCAGGTGCCTGGCTTGATGCCGCGGGTGTCGGCGAGGGAGTCGCAGCCTAATTGCTGGATGCACTGAGATATGTTTGGACTTGGAAGCGCAGAGCATATGGCAGACGTAGGGAAAAATGCCGGACTGTTTAGTAGCTGCAGGTAGTTCATTTAAATTTCATTCATTCTTTATGGAGGCACGGAAGCGTGGCAGCTGACAGGCGGCTGAAGATTTTGGGGGACGAACATGGTTTTCAAATTGTTTCAAACCCTAAGTTGGAAGGTTCGAACCATTATTCTCTAGGAGGCTTTTATTTCTACTGCGAACACTGTATGTGCACCCACGCGCACCCACGCGCGCCCGCGCCGCGCCTGTCACCGCACTTGGGAAGGCTCGCCAGCATGATGGGTGAGAGATCCCCTTACATTTTGGCCACGCGATTGGGAAGGAGCGCAGACCGAGGGAAATACTCATCCGAACTGTCAGTTGCTGGCAGTTCAGCTTCCACTGGCCCCTGGATTTCCTGGACTCGACACGCTGGGGCTCCCTGCGAGCGGCGGGTGCAGGCGCTGGCTCGGTGGCCGTAGCCGTCGCCACTCGGGGCAAAGGGACCAAGGCCTGCAGCATACCTGGTTGCTGCTGTGCAACTGGCACGCAACCGCCTCGGGCCTTTGCCCTGGGCGAGAGGTCCTGGCGCGGCACGCACACGTGGACACGGCCGCTCCTCCCTGCGCCCTGCTCCGGCTGCCTTGGCCGGGCGATCCGACAGACCCTCGCCTAGAGGCTTTGGGGAAGGTCTGTGGAGGCGAAGCAGTCCACCTGCTTTTCCTCGGGTTGTTTGATTTTCGCGTACTTATTTGCTTTTTTGCACCGGCGGGCACTGGTCCCCAAGAGGCGCTGGGAAGTTTCAGTGAGCGTGGGCGTGGGCTCTGCAGCAGCACCCGGAGCCTGGCTGTGCAGGGCCGGGAGCGACCCCTCGGCCTGGTGGGGCGGCGGAGAAACAGGGGGCCACTTCGGGGGACATTGGCTCCCTACGCCTCGCCTGGGGCCGGCGGCTCCGAGCCCAGGTGCCGCCCCTTCAAAGATTTCACCTTTCGCCTTTGAGACTTAACTGGAGAGTGCTGGGGTCACCTGTTTGGTGGCGAGCTGAAACTGGCAGCAGGAGGAGGGCGCTGGGAGGGAGCGGCGAGGCTCTGCGCCCCAGGTCTCCACTGCTCCCGCGGGGCGGGGCCGCGCAGGTTCCCTGCAGCTCTCAGGTAGCCCGGCGGGGAGGGGCGGGAGCCTTGAACCCGGCTCTGGAGGAAGAGAAACCCGGCTGCGGGCTCCGAGCCGTTTCTTGCTGGGCAAGCGTCAACTCGGCAGGGATTATTAACCAGGTCAGCGAAATGAGTCTGAACCCCTTTTCTAGAATCACAGTAGCGGCCACGAGGCACTTCCTCCCGCTCTCCTCCTCTTTCCGCGACCCGCCCCCCCCCCAGCACTTTTTTTTTCTTTATCGTTTCTTTGCACGGTTTGTTTCCTTGACAGAAGGTAATATTCATAGTTGTAGTCTTGTAACCACACCAGGTCTAGCAGGTGGAGGAGTCGAGTGCATCGAGCCTGAAATCAGCCTTTGAAAGTCCTTTGACTGTTGGGTCTGAGATCTTGTCAGTGAAGATAAAGGAAAAGTTATTTCAGGTCCGCAGTAGAAATTAATCATGCCACTCAGGAGACCAGAAAGCCGTAGAGCATGGCAATCGCATGCGCAGCTCAAAGGCGAGCCCCGTGCCAGGCCGGCCGTTAGGGAGCAGCCCTGGACTCACTTGCTGCCCTCGCAGTCCCTTCAGGACTTGCAGAAGTCTCGCACCACGTTTTCGCCAAAACCTTGGTTTTGCACATCTGTGGCTCAGCTTAAGTTTTAAAGAGGTACGAAAGACATGGAAGCATCATTTGGGCGCGCTGGAAAGTACCTTAGAAATAGAATCCAGGCCCTTGTGCATGGGTGAGGTACCAATGTCCCAAGACAGAGGAAGTGATTTGTCCAAGTCACGAAGTTAGGTGGAGGCAGGACGAGCCCTGGCACCTTTGCCTCCAGAACCCTGGTCCTGCTGATTCCTCCTGTCCATTCTCGCCTGATGTTGGCTGCCCCCTGTGGGCCGCTGCTTGTGTCGCTCGTTCCTAGGCTAAGCTGTTACTAGGAGGGAGGTGCCCGATTACTAATTTGGAAAATGTCGCCCACAGTTCTAGAATTGTGATCTCCAGACCTAGCCAAACCTAAAAGGTTAATTTGAGTTGAAGCTATGTCTCCACTTTCAGATTCCTTCGATTTTTCTTGGTATCCCTGATCCTTCGTAAGAGGCTACTTCATTTGGGGACTTCCTAAAGAGTTCTCTGTCCACTTTTCAAAAGATGTGTACAGCTCTTGGCTCATAGTAGCTTTGTTGTTATTTTATTATATTGTGCTTTACATTAAAGGGAAAGTATTGTAGTTGTTATTAATAAGTTCTTTACTGCCCAACAACTATAGGCTCTTGTTTTAAAGGATAGACACGGAATGAAAAATGATTACAGACAATGAATAGAGTTTAGTGGGGGTTTTATTGGTTGTTGTTTTTGGTGGTGGTATTTTAAGTGCAGATCATATCCAGTCACCGTGCATCCTGGACCATCAGATGGTTGCTCAAAATGATGGTTTTAAATTTTAAGAACCCCAGTTCAGGACTTTTGTAAGCACTTTTGTTTGATTTGTAGGTGGTTTGTAATATACACTTGTGGATTAGAGAAAACAAAACTTATTATAAATCTAAATTTCCTCTTTAAAAATAATCATTTGCATTATGATATTACTTTATGCCATTATTATTTATTATTTTTATTTATGCCGGGGATTGTTCTCAGGGCTTTTACATTGCACTACATCCCTAGCCTTATTTATTTATTAAAATTTTGAGACAAGGCCTGCTAAGTTTCCCAGGCTGTTCTTGAATTTGCAGTCCTCCTGCCTCAGCCTCCAAGAGTGCTAACATTACAGGCATGTGTCACCATTCTTGGCTTATGCTGTTATTTTTAATTGACCTTAGTTTCATGGGTTTACTAATATTACAATGATAAATTTTAGTGATGTTTCTAATATTCCATAATTTTTCATATCTTGTTTTACAAGGAAAATTATAAGTAAAAATAAACTGAAATCACTTTCATATATTCAGTATATGACTAATAAACCATTTTAAGCATAGAGTTACTGTATTTTTATTTTTCAATTTGTTTTGGTACTGGGGATCGAACTTAGGACCTCGTGCTTGCCAGGCAGGTGCGGCACCACTGAGCTACATCCCCAGCCCTAGAGTTACTTCAGAAGTCATCAAAATGCATAGTTTCACTCAACTAGGTAAAAGAAAAAGCTTTTTTTAAAAACAGTGGATTTCTTCTGGGGGGGATCCCTAGGTTTTGAATTAGGTACATTTTAAGATATTAAACACCATTCAGTCAGAGACAGAAGAAATAAAAAAGTAGGATTCTATCAAATGGCCTGATTATTCATGTAGTTACTCTGGAAACTGAATATTATAAACAGGGCCACAAGTCGGATCACCCAAGCCTAGAGTTTTGAAGAATTTGGTATTTATGTTAATTGCAAAACACTTGGGTTACTTGAGGTCTTATCCTTTGTCAGATTTTAAAATACCTGTCTCTTAGATTCTCCTAATCTTCTAATCTTTAAAGGATGGCTGTCACTATATTATTGGATGTATTATTTCTCAAATTTAAAAAATTTCAATAGAGCACCAACCCCACTGGAATAACTTACTGATTTGTTTATTGTGTTTGGGAAATATTATTTAAACAATGTGACATATGCCAAAGATTTTGAGTGTGCACTTATATACAGGACGTGGGTACTTGTTCTTTTTCTTGGCCTTAACATTAAGTTTTAAATTTAAACCCTGATTGGTTGGAAGGTTGCCATATGTGTAACTTGTCACTGGCCTAACAGCAACAGCAGGTTTAAACATGCAGAGCCACAGGAAAGTGCCAGATCCTTTGCTGTATCTGTGGATACCAATAACAGCAGAACCAGTTTATAATACTACAGCAACAGAATGCAGAAAACAATCTTGCTGTGCGGGTTTCCAAAGTTTTATCTTCATAGCCTTTGAAAAACTTGTTGGAGAGTTTTGGTGGGATTTTGTAACCCAATAGTTTAAGTCCTCTTGTTTCAGCCCTTGTGTGCCCATTCTTATTTCCACAGCATATACAGTAGTGACGAGGATGATGAAGACATTGAGATGTGTGACCATGACTATGATGGGCTACTTCCCAAGTCTGGAAAACGTCACTTGGGGAAAACTAGGTGGACCAGGGAAGAGGTAACTAATCATTTGATCAAAACATGGAGAAAACCAGACTGCGTAATTTACAAAAAAACCAAAATTCCTGTCGTAGGGCCTTGGAGAGCCTGTGCTAGCCCACTTACCCAGTACACTCACCTCTCACCACTGCCCCACATGATCACTGTACCATCTACTTCTAAATTACTTGTGGTTCTTTGAATGTCCTCTCCTTTTCACCTTATGCCTTACCTGTCTCCCGCTGCCTAGTCATTCATAAGCCACACCACCTCTTACTACCTCTTCACTACCTATGAAGGCATCATCTGTCCTGTGAGCCATGGCTGGCTTCCTCTGACTGTGATGGATGCATCTTCCTGGGTTCCCATGCCACTGAGAGCATGTTCTGCCTTATTGTTCCTGTGACATGTGTGTCTCTCCCAGTAGATGGCAAGTCTCTTGAGGGTGGGGCTAAATGTCTTCTGTTTGTGTTCCCTGAACCCAGAATTACTTGCTTCAAGTAGGATATTGATAAATGCTCCCTGAATAAATGAATGACTATTTAAAAAAAAAGTAAAACCAAACACTCATAGAACTCCTCTTGTGTTAATGTATTTGTTTAGTATTCTTGCTATATAATGTGTTGCAGAGCCATATGCATAAAGGCTTGTTCTGGAAGCATCCAGTAATGGGTGGAGGTGTTTCTACATCTCACCATTTCTTGCTGGCTTCTCAAAACCTTGGTCCTTGTAGGAATAGAAAAATCCCTTAGAAGCAAAATTAATAATGCGTGAGGAAAAATGTCTTTCTTTCTAATGTTCTCAAAACATTTTGCAACTAATTTTAGAGTATTTCATGTTAGAATCAGTGGTAACAACTCTCCTTCAGTTTCATTGTGCTCTGCTTCATTTAAACTAGAATCACTGTTGACAGCAGACAGGATTCCCAGGGAGGCACAGAGGAAGTGCATATTTTACCTATAAAAATTGTGCACTTGGGTGATCCTTAAGGATGTTAGAAGTTCTGTTGTTAACCCTGGTTTCCCAGTTCCTGTGTCTGTATTGTGCCATGAAACTTCATTGTGTTTGAATGCTACTTTTGCAGAAGGATGAGAAAAACATGTAGAAAGTTATTTGTGAACAGCATATCAACTGAAAGAACCAGTTGCCCATGAACGTTTAGTGTCTTTTGTGTTCTAATACTTTTGATCTCATTTAAACTGTGAATACACTGATACAAAAACTCCATGATTTTTATCATAGTATACATGCCTTAAAGTTTATGTTTAAAAGGTTCTTTTTTTGGGGGGTATACTGGGGATCGAACTTGGGTCCTTGAGCTTGCAAGGCAGGCAACAGAACCACTGAGCTAAATCTCCAGCCCTATCTTCTTTTTTATATAGAAAGAGGTTGAACTACTTGGAAAGATTCTAGTTTTTTTTTTTTTTTGGTACTGGGGATCAAACTCAGGACCTTGCGCTTGCTAGGCAGGCACAGTGCCACTGAGCTAAATCCCCAGCCTAAGATTCTGTTTCTTGCTCAAGATCTTATCTGTTGCCAGATGGCTACTAAGTCTAGCATAAGAATTTATTTTTCTCCCACCAAGTAAAACTCTTAACGATTGCCATACATTAAACACTTAATATTATTATAAATGTTTTGCATAATTACCTCATGTAATCCTCAAATAACCCTGTTGATATCAGAATTGCCATTTACAGATAACAGTACACAAGTATGGAAAGGTAAAATGATACTCCCAAACTTATATAACTAATCAACATCTAAGATTAAAACCTCTAGTCTGACTAAATATATGCTCTAAACCAAAATACTAATATCTACTAACTGAATAATTTTAAGAGATTTTTTTCAGATTAGATCATGCAGTAGGTTCCCTTGTTCACTATAACTTGAACAGAATTATTCTGTGAGAGACTGATACCCTAGGACTATCTTTAAATGTCTTAGGATGAAAAACTAAAGAAGCTGGTGGAACAGAATGGAACAGATGACTGGAAAGTTATTGCCAATTATCTCCCGGTAAGTTAGTAATTTTTTTTTCTTTTTATAAAAGAAAAGCTCCTCCTAAAGATTTAAGTAAAATATTCCTGGAGAGATTATTAAGATATTACATATTTGCTCACATATAAGAAATAGGGGGGAAAAATGTCCCACCCATAATTTATATTTTTTTTGTGAAACTTATAATTGGGGTTTCTAAATCGATTATTAAAAGGTTTTGACAATGTTTTTAAAGCAGTTGCTTCTTGTTTTGTCTTGTGCTTTATTAGGATAATACAGATTAGCATTCTGATGATGTGTTACATGGTAGGCGATTAAACTTGACATTCTCCCCTAGTTAGCCTCTTCTAAACTTTCCCATCTTCATCAGTAGCCATATTTTTAGCACCGAGATTCAAAATTCTAGAGTGCTTTTTGACTTGCCCCATTCCTCTGTCCCCCACACCCAAGCAGTTACCATGAACCCTGGAGTTCCTTTGTGGCCCCTCTCATCCTTCTGATTCCCGTGGTTGGGCCATGGGCTAGGCTCCATGGCCTCTCATATCAGCTTCCTAACCAGCATTCCCACTTGTAGCTTTCCACATTTTCATCCATCCAAAATCCTATTGGCAGATGGCACATCCTAAAATGAAGCTATACCTTATCTTTTCAAAACTAACAATGGTGTCTTTGAATCTCACAAATCAAGTAAACTGCCCTGACCCAGCAGTCCAAAAAGGCCCTCCTATATGGCCCCAGCAGACAGGTCCTGCACTGATGCCTTCTTCCTCTCCACAAGCAGGTTTGGTTGAATTCATTTCTCCTTTCCCTCCTCTGGGCTTTTATTTCTGGAGCTCTCACCTAAATGTTGTCCCTTTGTGTCACTCTTTAAGATTTCTGACATCCTCAAGAGCTCCTTTGGACTTCTAAGTACACAGTTTCTCCTCCTAATGGGATGCTTTTCTCCTTACCCCAGTAGCATTTTGCTTTGACTTCATATGAATCAAATTCAGCCTTCTGTTACAGTTATATATTTGTCTTTTCCTTCTTATAAGAGTCTAAGCTCCTACAAAGAAGGGCCTATCTTTTATCATCCTGGCTCCTTCTGCAATATAAATACTTGTGGTCCTGAATTAAAGAATATATTTGGGTTTGCATAGGAAGCAAACTTTAGTCCTTTGGGGTGGGTTTTTACTGAAGCCTGACAGTATGGAATCTCTAACAGGTCTTAGATCCTTTAGGTATTTCTACAAGCAACAGACTGAGGTTAAATTAAATTGACAGGCACTTGTGCAATTTAAGATTTCTTTCATTCATGTGGCAGCACTATTTCCCTCAGGAGGCAGAGCTTCTAATTTTATGCGCAACTTTGATTTTTTTTTTTCTGTTTTTAGCCTATAAGGAGAGATAGATGGATTTCTTATACATGCCTTTAAATGTTCTTGAATGTTTTCACTGCATATTTTCCATGTGTGGCTCATATTCAATAACACCTTCATGTGCTTCTCACATCCTATCTTTGTGATGGTGCATACTTGTCTAGAATCGGACAGATGTGCAGTGCCAACATCGATGGCAGAAAGTTCTAAACCCTGAGCTCATCAAGGGTCCTTGGACCAAAGAAGAAGATCAGAGAGTAAGTTCTGTCTTCATAGATGTGTGAACTATAGTTAAGAATATTCCCAAAATATATCTGTTTAGATGTTCCCCAACCTGAGGATGCAAATAAAGCATGCAAACAGCAAGTAAAGAGCTCCTTGCCATATTTCCAAAAACTGAAAGCAGATATTTAGAAGTTTCCAAAAGTTTCTTGTAACACTGAAGGATGATTACACTGACTCATTCTATAACATTAAAACACAGGTTATTTTTGTGTTTATCTGAAGGTGATAGAGCTTGTACAGAAATACGGTCCGAAACGTTGGTCTGTTATTGCCAAGCACTTAAAAGGGAGAATTGGAAAACAATGTAGGGAGAGGTGGCATAACCACTTGAATCCAGAAGTTAAGAAAACCTCCTGGACAGAAGAGGAAGACAGAATTATTTACCAGGCACACAAGAGACTGGGGAACAGATGGGCAGAAATCGCAAAGCTACTGCCTGGACGGTAATACCATGTCAAAAAGTATATGGATTGGGAAGAACGAGGGAGTGGGTATTGAACATTCTGTTTTAAATGTATGAATAAATTATATCCCATCAGTTGTTAGTGTTTCATTAGCTAAGAGATCTATAGCTCCTACAACTGGAAGAGATTTTAGAGTTTACCTGGTTGTGGGCTTTTTGGATTTATTCAGTGGTGAGCTGTGGGCCAGGTCTTTTAATTAGCAATAATTGCACCTTAGATAAACCTCATTGGCTACGATACTACCACTGCACAAAGCTAAATTTGTGAAGCACCAAGTTTTGTTTTGTTTTTTTTTTTTTGGTGCCCGGGATCAAACTTGGGACCTTGAGCTTGCGAGGCAGGCGGCAGCACCACTGAGCTAAATCTCCAGCCTGGGCCAGGTCTTTTAACTTCCTTCATCCTCAGTTTTCTCATTTGCAAATTGGGTAATGATCTGTTTCATAGAGCCAGTGTTAGGCCCACGTCAAAAGAATATTAAAGCACTTTTGTAGACTATGGGACTCTAAACATAGGAAAAAACTAAGGACAAAGAGTTTGTCTTGGTCTATCCAGCTGGTTCAAGGACCAGCTACCATTTTGGTATTAATGCAGGAAATGCAGGAATGCAGGAAAACCTGCATTCGTTTCATTACACCACTTGACAATTTTTTTTTCTTTGAATAGTGAAATAATATATTGCTTCCGCATTTTTAAACAATGTCAGTGAATGCTTTCTTTTTCAATGAGCCTGGCAAGAAAATAACCTTGTGAAGGACAACTGTGGAAGCCCATGTGTGTCGTGCTTTCCTTCCTTATATAGTAGTGTACAATGGTTTTTGTCTATTTTGGAAAAATACGTTTACTACAAATTTTAAGATAGAAAATATTAAGGATATTTTAATTCTTGGCTTTCTTAATCCAAAAGCAGAGAAAGGGTCATTTCGAAGATGGCTTATATAGTGTTTTCTTGTGATGCCCCAAAGCATTTCCTCCCTTGTGGTTCAGTAAAAGCTTCGAAAATTCAAGAGGCTGGTCAAAGCAGGCCTTTTTCCCATTTGCTCTGTAAGGACATGCTGTTAATTTTCACAAAATTAAGGGGGCAACTGATTAAACTTCCTCTTTCTTTAGCAGAAATTCCCCACCCCCATGGAAACAGTAAAAGGGGGCTTAAAATGGTTTTTTGGGGGCTGGGGTGGGGGGTTGTTTGTTTGTTTGTTTCTTTTTTTTTTTTTTTTGCATTGAGAAACTTTTCCTGAGAATGGAAAGGTTTTAGTAAAAGTGCTTTGCAGTTTTAGCATCTTTTCCTTTGGGATCTTTTTTGTTCCCATTCTCACCTCTGTCTGTTTATAAGAATAATGGATTGGTTTTCCAAAGGTGGGAGGATTTTTTTACTCAAAATTTCTCACTCGTGCTCAAGAAATAAAGGGTGGACAATGAGGTAGCATTGCTGTCATTCCCAGACTTTATGAATCCCTGTTGTGGTGTCTAGGCCTTGCTATCCCACACTCAAAAAAGAAATTGTTTTAGGAAAGCCAGAATTTTCAAGCTGTATTAGTGTTTTGTACCACAAATGGTCAGAATTAACATCGAGTGTTATTGTACTGAAAATACTCCTTCACCAAGGAAACAAAATGGTGAAAGATAGCAGAATTTACAGAAAACTCCATATATTCCAGATTATGTAAGTAAGAGAAACCTATGGATTTTCAGTTAGGCAATAGGGACTGCATGATTTTAGAAGGTGGAAAAGATTAAAACAGTTAAAAAGAGAAGACGACTGTTAGTGGACCTAAAGAAAAGATTTCTATTAGAAACAGTTTTTGTCAGTTACCTCTAACTGGAATTGAATTTTTTGTTTGTAAAATTTTTATGTGATGTATTTGTGTGCAGAACTGATAATGCTATCAAGAACCACTGGAATTCCACAATGCGTCGGAAGGTGGAACAGGAAGGTTATCTTCAGGAGTCTCCCAAAGCCAGCCAGCCAACAGTGGCCACAAGTTTCCAGAAGAACAATCATTTGATGGGTTTTGCTCATGCCCCACCTTCTTCTCAACTCCCTCCAACTGGGCAGCCCTCGGTTAACAATGACTATTCCTATTACCACATTTCTGAAGCACAAAATGTAAGCCATTCCTGAGAATTTAGACTGAAAGAGATGGTTATTTGAGCTCCAGGCAGCAATGCTTTGCAGCTGAACACTTTCAGAGAGCTTTCATAAGCATGATCATGACTGATCTTCACCTATACACTTGAAGGAGACAGAACTAGATATGATTATCCCTGATTTATAGATCTGGACATGAGGATTGTAAGTGATTTGTTCAGGGTTACATAGCTCAGAGAAGTAGTGCTGAGTACAATCCAAACTGTTTGATTCTAACTTGGTGCTCCAAATCCGGTTTAAATTTAAGATTTTGTTTTGTTTTGTAGCCATGCTGGGGATTGAACCTAAGACCTCACAAATGCTAGGCAAGCATTGTACCACTGAGCTACATATTGTACCCCAGTCCTGAAATTATCTTTTAAATATAAATTTACTTTATTGCTAAGGAAAAGTGGGAGAAAGGAGAAAACATTTGCGGTCTAATATTTTTATCTTCCAAAATGGAAAAATAAATGTAATATTACATTTAAAGAGGAGATACTAGTTTGAAACTGAAATTCAGTGAATGACTATAAGTTCATTTATGGTAGGGATCTAGCAGAAGTACTTTTATTCATTCCATGTTTAGCTTTCTTTGTGTATGTGGAACTGGGGACTGAACCAGGGCCTTTGCACTGCACTACATCCCTAGCCCATATGTTATTTTGAGACGGGGTCTTGCTAAGTCGGCAAATTGTCCAGACGGGGATGACTGGGATGAAACTCATGATCATCCTGCCTCAGCCTCCCAGAGTGCTGGGACTACAGGAATGTCTCATCCTCAGTTGTGAGCAGAGCTGTGAGGCTGATTCTCTGATGCCTTCTTTTTTCCTCCTTGGATTGGTGGGATTCCTTCCTCATTTCTAGACATTTATAACTAGAGAAATGATTTATAGTGAGTAGGAAAGAAGCATAAAGAGTAAAAAAAATCAAGAGACATTAATCTCAGAACTAACAATAATATTTGATAAAATTTACCCAATAACACAGAGCTCATATGCAAATGTTATACAAAACATATTCATAAATAGTTTTTACTTTTCTCTATCTGTTTCATGGATTTGACTACAGACTTGACAGAAAGGACAGGTGAATGAATTATCATAGAAGGTTCTGTGCTTTGTATTAAAACTCATAATTATTCCAAGAAAAATAATCTTAGTTACAGACAGCTAATACCATCAGTTTTTCCACTGAAACTTCTTTCATATATTATAAATATATTTTAAGATTATATTCTCCATTGTGTTTTTCTGTAAGGAATGCTTCTTGTCAGGACAGATCAGTACTTTAAATTTCTTTCACTCTGTTGCTTTGGCTATTTTGCCAGTTTTAAAGGCTTGGCTGAATTTCAAATTAGTTTTTTTTTTTTTATTATTTAGTGAATTTTATCAGTAAAGTACTTTTTTCCCTCAGTCCCAGAACACCACCTCAGGAAGCCAAATCCCCTAAAGCATATGTAACTATCAATGACTTGGCCTTTGTTTTGCTTTTCAATCTAGGTCTCCAGCCACGTTCCATATCCTGTAGCGTTACATGTAAATATAGTCAATGTCCCTCAGCCAGCTGCGGCAGCCATTCAGGTGAGATCACATGGTAAAGAAGCTCATTAGCTAAACAAGGCGCCACTTTTAGGAAATGCTTCAAAGTATTTCATCTAAATACTTATTTTCACCTGACCATTAGAAGAGAGGGTGGAGTACAGCGATCTACCAAGCTACCAAGCTTGGCCCCTGGAGTGAGTTTGCAGGGGACTTTTTTTTTTTTTTTTGGTACCGGGGATAGGAATTTTTTGAAGCTCTCGTGTTGTAAGTTGAAAGAACTCATCAGTCAGTACCCACTCTTGCCTCAGATTTCCCATCGCTGCCTTCAGTCCAAAATAACATTCAGAAAGTTTTCTCTGGTGGTGAAGTTAAGTTGGTGCTGGCTTCATGCTGAAGCTCTTTGGGCTCTCAGTGGTTTGGGAAGACTTCAAGCTGCAGGCATCGTATTTACAGCCTCCGATCAGAGTTTTGCCTTTTCTTCCCTTAACTTGTAATTCCAGAGACACTATAATGATGAAGACCCCGAAAAAGAAAAGCGAATAAAGGAATTAGAGTTGCTCCTAATGTCCACTGAGAATGAGCTGAAAGGACAGCAGGCATTACCAGTAAGCATGTCACCGGGTCCTTGGGTGGGGGTTGCAGCTTTACTCCGTCACTTTTCACTATCCTTTTTCCTGTCTTCTAAATATTACACCAGCCAAAGCACTATATATCCATTAAAAATGCTTAAACACCAGAAGTTGCTGATAATAAAATACAGTTGTTATCAAAATGTGTATTCAAATGGAAGTAGTCTTTTTGTGATGCACGAGAAACACAGCATCCATTGCATTAGCAGCCATTTTTTTCCTCCGGGACTGTAATCAATTCAAAGACTAGCAAAGATAGAATTAGTGAAAAATCCGTATTTTGTTTACAAAGCTATACATTTATATAGTGCCTGTTTTTTCTATTGTCTTCTTGACCTATATTTTTATTTTATACTCTCAAACATGATTGGATACATAGTGTATGCATGTAAATATTATATATTTATACCACTTCTGCATAAAAAGATTAATGATTGTCTTTTGTTTGCATTCACGAAAGCTGTATCGGCCATTATGGAATTCTGACGTCTTTTTTAGTGATTCGGCAGCAAACTGGGAAAGCAGCTTGTACTTGCTAGCATTTGTAGTTAACCAAGAAAGTGAATAAAAGAGAAGTGATACCCAGTAGGTATTCTTGGGGATAAATTTCTTCCTTGCTAAATAATAAAATGATTATGTGCACATGGTAGTTCGACCACTTTTTAACTTTAGTTGATGTTTTGCAATTTCTCCTGTTGCGTGGTCATGCTGTAAGGAGGCTTCTGTTAATTTGCTCTTCTGCTTTCCTAACCACGTCGATTTGGCAGCCCTTCGCTGCATCAGTGCAATCTGTGGCCTTGGAAAAGGGTAGAAGCAACAATGTGCAGATAAAAGCAACTCTAGCTCGTGAACCCTCTAGCATGTTAGTAGATTAGGATGCAAATAGGACAATTCTTAATTCACAGCAAACACTGATGGACCTTTTGGAAATTATATGCAAGTGGATTTCTAAGACACTCAGATGAAAATTTTGCACTTTGATGCATAGTCCCATGATTTGAAATTTTAACAAAATGATATTAAGGTAATCAATCATGTAGGTACAAACCAGGACACTTTTCAGAAGCATCAGCTTGCATTGACTAAAAGGAAACATCTTGACAACTGTCTCACAGGCATAAGTTCTGGATGATGCAACTACTTTTATCTTTCCTCCAACAGCATCTGATACCTTGTGCAACATCATTGCTAAGTTCCTTCTTCCTTCTCCCTACTCTCTTTATTTCTCCACCCTGCCTCCCCCCCTTCCTCAGACACAGAACCACACATGCAGCTACCCCGGGTGGCACAGCACCTCCATTGCCGACCACAGCAGACCTCATGGAGATGGTGCACCTGTTTCCTGTCTGGGAGAGCACCACTCCACTCCATCTCTGCCGGTGGATCCCAGCTCCCTACCTGAAGAAAGTGCCTCACCTGCGAGGTGCATGATCGTCCACCAGGGCACCATTCTGGATAATGTTAAGAACCTCTTAGAATTTGCAGAAACACTCCAGTTTATAGATTCTGTAAGTAGAATTGTTAACGCACGTTAATGTTTCTGGAGAAGGAATTAGAACTCATTTTGTAAATCCTTGCCATGTTCTGTAGCAAATGTTCTTGGCTTCGATTCATGTAAAGGTAAAAGTATGATTTTAGTCTTAGTGAATGTTTTTTAAGAGATCTGATGTTAGAAGCTGTAGAGACAACAGCAGCTTTCTACACTTTTCCTTCAAAGGGCGTACTTTTTTTTTTTAAATAGGTGGATGGCTTACAAGGTAGAAGTTAGGTTCTGGGAATGGTGTTTAAGTTACTGTAACTAATTTTCCATTTTGCTTAGTTCTTTGTGCTTAACTTGAATTTTGCTTTCCTTTTGTGGATAGCACATGAAGAATTATGTTTGCTTGGAGCTTAAAGCAAGCTCTCGGTGTATTGGAAGTAATATTTCATTGGTGGGATATGACTTTTTCTACAAAATACTGAGCATTGATTACTGGTCCCGCTGGTTCATAGAAATAAAATCATCTTTAGGGAAACAAATTTGAGCTCAGCACCGCCTCAGCAGACACTCACTTCATTTCCTTGGTTTCTAGGTTAAGAAAACATTTCTTACATCCCTGTTGGGCAGAGGATGGACATTGCCTTAGTGCCATCTAGAAAGGTTTTCCCTTTGCTGCAGATTGCAGCCTGGAGGCAGCTCATGGATCCCTCTAATACAGGGTAACAGAACAACTGTTATTCTTGGAGCTGGAAGAAGTCCAGCAAATGGGCTGATGTCGTCTTTGCATTTAGCATCTCTTGCTCAGTGCTATTTCAGGTGACAATAGCACACACCTTGCACATCTCAAAGTTCTGTGCCTCCCACATTGTTTCAGGATTCTTCAGCATGGTGCGATATCAGCAGTTTTGAATTCTCTGAAGAAGCAGCTTTTGCACCTAGCCAACATCACACAGGCAAAGCCCTCCAGCTTCAGCAAACAGAGGGCAAGGGGCCTAGACCTGCAGGAGAGCCTAGCCCAAGGGAGAACAAACGCATGTTGGGCAAGGGTTCACTTGACTCACCCAAGGCCTTCCCTCCTTCAAGGCCCAGCACAATTCCACTGGTCATCCTTCGAAAAAAGCAGGGCCAGGCCAGCCCCTTAGCCACTGGAGGCTCTAGCTGCTTCCTCTTTGCTGACGTCAGCAGTTCAGCTCCCAAGCCTTCCCCTGTCAAAAGCCTGTCCTTCTCTCCCTCACAGGTAGAGCACAGTTTCTGCACAGCTGTTACTAATTTTCAACAGACACCCTAGCCTTAATAATCTAGAAACTAATCCTTTGGAACAAATGACTAATTACTGCTCCCCACACTGATTTCATGCTGGTGCTGCATCTAGCTGAGGCTGTCATTGCCTGGCTGCAGGCTGGCTAATGATTTTGCTGTAATTCTCTCTCAACTTTTTGGTGGTTTGGAAGATAGTTGCATGAGATATGCTTTTATTTCCTTCCACACTAGAGTTTAACATTTCTGTCCCTTCCTCTTCTCCCTTCTGATTCCCTCCTTTTAAAATTTTAACATGTTTTCTGCCTCTTTGTTCATTTATTATGTGATTCACTGACCCTGGGTAGGAAAGGACCAAATTATAGTTGTATAACATTTGGATTGCAACTAGAAAACTTAAAGATTATTATCCATCTTTAAGTGGAAATGTTTAGGGAGAGGATGGATGATGAACAAATGTCTAAGGAAGATAATTTTTTATTTCAACATGGGCTCTTTTGAGTTGTGCCATAATGTTTTAATAGTTTAGTTTTTTGCCATACAGTATATTTATTTCATAATGTGTTTTTTAAGGCTTGGAAATCATTATACTTGTCAGATATGTGTTCCTAAAGTATCCAAATAATTGAAATTAATAGATAGCTTGACACTTTAAAACATTTTTCCAGTTATGTCTGTTGATTTTTTTGTATACTCAATTGAAGTAAAATAAGGCCCTCTCCAATACCATCTAATTGTTAACATCTTTATTATTTTGTGTAATGGGTCAGTAAAACATACTTGCTTGTTATCTAGATGTGATTTTAAATTGGGCTGAACAAAGAATTGCCACTTAATCTAAGTAATTTTTTTCTTTCTCCCTACATTCAGTTCCTAAACACTTCCAGTAACCATGAAAACTTAGACTTGGAAGTGCCTTCTTTAACTTCTACCCCTCTCAGTGGTCACAAATTGACTGTTACAACACCATTCCATAGAGAGCAGACTGTGAAAACTCAAAAGGAAAATACCATGTAAGTCTTTGATTCAAGAAAAAACTATTTATCTTATTTATTTATATTTTATTAATGGAAGATAGTCCCCAAATGTCTGATCCATTAGTGTATATATAATTTTACCAATTCACTTATATGTATTGTGTATATTTCCACACTGAATATGTCTGTCCTGGGAATGTCACAACTATCTAGAGGTAGAAGGAGAGAGGATAAACAAATTACCTTTTGTAGCTTGCTCCTAAATTTCCTGTGTATGTAGAGGTAGTTTTCATATAATGTTTCCATCCAATTTGTCTATTCACTCAATAAGGACTTTTCTTCTCACTGAAAAGGTTTTCAACCTCCTTTCTTCTCTGCTTATAAGCTTCAAAAAAAGATTGAGTATGGTTCTTTGCTCATATTTTTAAACTTTTTTCTTTTATAATTTATATACAGATAAGGACCTCTTTCGACGTGCCTAGAAATCTTGTATCATTAGACACCAAGGGGTGATTAAGTCATTTTTCTTTGATAAAGGCTTAACTTATTCAAAGAAATGGCAGAGAAAAAAATCAGTATGAATTATGAGAAACCTTTAAAAGAAATGTGCTCTTACAAATTTTGAGTATAAAAAATAATTTTAAAAGGCTAATAACATTTTGTAGTGTGGGCCTCAATTTTAATGAATAAAGTTGATTGGTAAATGACATTAGCCATCACAATATTTATGATCATTGTACAGACCTAGGAACACTACCTGTGCCTTTAGGACTGTTCAGGAAAGATGAAAAACATTTTAGAGCTCTTAGTCTTAGGGGTATAATATTTTGAACTATTCAAAGATAGGTGATACACATATTGTCTTGTCTTTACTCAATACACATGATTAATAAGCATACCCAGTTCCATATCAGTGACAGACTTTATTGTATTTAGTGGAAAAATATTAAACTTGATAGAGTAATGTAAGAGGTGCATATAATTTATATTGACCCACCGCTTGTTCCCTTTTTAAAGTTTTAGAACTCCAGCTAACAAAAGGTCAATCCTAGAAAGTTCTCCGAGAACTCCTACACCATTCAAACATGCACTTGCAGCCCAAGAAATTAAATATGGTCCCCTGAAGATGCTAGTAAGTTCTGGAAAAGTCTTTGGGTTTAGTTGGTTTATTAGTAAGGACAGACATTGTCCTCTGATGCAAAAATGTCTGCTCTTCCCTGCAGCCTCAAACACCCTCTCATCTAGTTGAAGACCTACAGGATGTGATCAAACAGGAATCTGATGAATCTGGAATCGTTACTGAATTTCAAGAGAATGGACCACCCTTACTAAAGAAAATCAAACAAGAGGTAAGCATGAGACCCTTGGAAAGAATAAACTGTGGATCCTGATGCCTTTTTTTTTTTTTCTTCATGCAGTTTGATGTGCTTGGCATTGTTTTTCACAGTATAGTTTCACACAAGACACAGTCAAAAGGTGCTGCCAGAGCTGGGTGTGGTGGCATACGCCTGTAATCTCAGCCATCCGGAGGCTGAGGCAGGAGGATTGCGAATTTGAGACCAGACTAGACAACTGAGTGAGACCTTGTCTCAAAATAAAAAGGCCTTGGAAGTGGCTCAAGGGTAGAGCACCTTGGTTCAAGCCCCATTACTGTTAACAAAAAAAAAGGTACTACTGGACTGCAGCAGCCTTCATTTGGGAAGCCAAGCCACTTCTGTTGTCTTTGGGCAGAATAAATGAAAAGAGATCAGCCGCTTTTTACTCTAGTTTTTAAAAATCACTGGTTATAGATGGATGGTAGATATTTCCTTTTGTTTTTCCTCTTTTTTTCCTTTTTTTTTTTTTGGTACCGGGGATCGAACTTGGGTCCTTGCTCTTGCGAGGCAGGCGGCAGAACCATTCCCTTCTTCTTTTTAAGGAATAAGAAATAGCTTATTATGAGCCAGACAGAAGCATCCATGACCCGGGAGCACAGAATCAAGTTACCCTGAATGCTGTGTTCCCTCATTATCTGATACCAGAGAGAAATGGAATTTATAGTAGAAAAGAAAGAAAATGTAACCTGCAAGGATCAAAGTGTTAGCTTGTTAGCAAGCAGCAGCTCCAGCGTGTTGGGCACAATGGCTCTTGAATTTATTTTCATGTGGCACTGAACATTTGAAAGACTGGCCAGAATTGTACTCCTGAGAGTCAGTATTTCATGTAAGCTGTGGTTCTGGAAACAACAAAGCACTTCCTGTTTCCTTTTAGGTGGAATCTCCAACTGATAAAGCGGGAAACTTCTTCTGCTCAAACCACTGGGAAGGGGAGAGTCTGAATACTCAGCTGTTTACACAGCCATCGCAGGTGGCGGATGCCCCCGTAAGTATGCGACAGAAGCCCCAACTCTGCAGTGTGGCCCTCCTCCACATTCTCTAATGTGCTGATTTCTGAATATTCTACCCTGCATGATTTTTTTTAAATGATCATTAATATAGGATATAAAGTTGACATTTGTTGTTTATGAATTGGAAACATTCTGTTTGATTGCAGATGTTTTCATTATTTTCTTATGATTTGAGAGTCCTTGCCAATTAAAAAGTCTGCTTCATGGATAGTTTCATGAAAATAGAATGTTGATTTTTAGATTTATTTGCCTTCTAAAAGTAGTATTTCCATCTAGTTGTCCCTTGCTTGGTTTTATGTAACATTTAAAACAGTGCCTACAATGGTGTCTACAAGCGGTGCTCAGTATTGTGCCAGTTGAGATTTCTCTCTACATCCACAGAGGATTGGTCTAGGACAGTGATGGTGAACATTTTAGAGCTTTCAGTGATACAAACCACCCACTGTGGTACAAGTGCCATAGGTTCAGCACCCACTGAATTAGGACCACCCTTGGATACCCAAATCTGCCGATGCTGAACTCTTGTATAAAATGGCATGGTATTTATGTGCCACCTACATACATCCTCCCAGGTACTTTATATCTTTTGTGTGTGTGTGTGGTACTAAGGATTGAACTCAGAACCTTGCACTTGCTAGGCAGGCACAGCACCACTGAGCTACATCCCCGGTCCACCCACGTACTTTAAATCATCTCTAGATTTCTTATAATACCTAATACAATGTAAATGCCATTCTTTAGGGAGTGACAAGAAAAGTCTGTGCATGCTCAATACAGGTGGTAGTTTCTCTCTCTCTCTCTCTCTTTCTCTCTCTCTCTCTCTTTTTTTTTGGTTGGTGAATCCATGGATGCAGATAGCCAACTGTGTTGCATTGCTGTGCCTGCTACCATTTTGCCAGTTTGCAGTTTGTGAACAGTTGTCCTGATGTCTTATGAAGAATCAGAGTAAAGAGTAATTGTTCATATTTATTCAGTATGTGCTAAGAATCTTAGAGCTTTGGATGAGTTAATTCATGTAACCATCACAATAACTGTATAAGGTTGATAACATTACCACCTCCAGTATGGCAACCAAGAAACTGGATAGCTTAGTCATTTGCTGAAGATTATATACCTATCAAAGGGGAGAAGGAGCAGCTGAGTTAAAAGTTGCAAAGTCTGGTTCTAAATTCTATGTTTCACCACTGTACTATGCTACCATTAATTCATAGTGCTAAGATATTTCTGCACCAATCTATGAAATAATTCTTGCCCCAGAGCTTAGTACCTTTTCTTTTTTGGTACTGGGGATCGAACTCGGGTCCTTGCACTTGCACAGCAACATCTTTTATTTTTAAAAGCATGGAGTTAGCCAGTTTGAAAACATGCACTAATGCACTAAGGGTGCGTGGTGGCACACACCAATATTCTGGGAGTCTGAGGCAGGAGCCTCACATATTGGCCACCTGGGTAACTGAGCAAGACCCTGTCTCAAAATGAAAATAAATGGATGGATGGATGGACAGGCAGACAGACAGATGGGGCTGGTTATATAGCTCAGAGTGAAGGTCCTGAGTTCCATCCCCTGTACCACAAAAAAAAACACAACAGCATGGATTTAGCAGGTGGATTTTGAGTGGCTATTATGTGCCTACAGCCAGCTGGGAGCCTGAAGCTTTTTGGATTCCTTCGATGTTTGCTACAGTGGGGCAAGGGCCAGTACATAGTTGAGTTCTCTTTTTAGCTCCCCAGGAAGAGAATTTCTGGCAGATAACTGCATTTCTTCATGCAAATGTGTATCATCTCATAGTAATCTACTCTCTCCAGTGTTAAGATTGTGTTAGCTCTCATATTATCTAGCCTTATTTAAATTTCAAATCATTCTTTTCCCTTTAGAATATTCTTACAAGCTCTGTTTTGATGACACCAGTATCAGAAGATGAAGACAATGTTCTGAAAGCATTTACAGTACCTAAAAACAGGTCCCTGGTGAGTCCCTTGCAGGTAATTACTGTTCTAACATTGGTGTCTTTTTTTTTTTTTGGTACTGGGGATCGAACTTAGGACCTTGTGCTTGCACGGCAGGCACCAGAACCACTGAGCTAAATCCCCTGCCCTAACTTCGGTGTCTTAAAACTCATTCACTGTAAAAACTGTTATCTTGTGCTATTGTTGTTCTTACCATTTTAGACATAGAGGTGTAATGCTTTTTAACAGTTTCTTTATGTCCAAAAAACATCCAGTAATTCTTGTTACTACTCACATGAAATATGCTGGAAATTTTCATGAGAGCAGGTCCCGCAAATATGATAAAGTGGAAACATTTTTTTTTAACTCTGACTGTGACCAAGATCGTGTGTTAGGCTTGTGTCAGTATCTCCTGGCTTTAAACATTTTAAACTGTGCCTTGTTTTAAGATTTCTATTTTTTATGCTCAGATCTAAGCAGTCAAAGCTCAAAGACTGGATTCTATATGAAATTTGAAATTAGCTAGATAGAAAGTGATTGCCATGTATTTGACTATTAGAATTTTTAAAAAGGCAGCAGTCAAAGCTGTGACTAATCTGTAGTAGACCATTTGCTGTCAGGTTTTAATATCAAAGGAGGTTTCCCTTGTATTTCTGAAGTAGGTGTATCCTGATGAAATGCAACACATTCCAAATTAATCCTGAGCCAAATTAAATAAGAATGCAAATTTGCTCCCCCAAATTATTTAAGCTAGCCTAGTATCTAGCCAGTGCAGGACCATCCCATCTGTCCTGGTGCTACTCAGAAGGAAAATTCACAAGCCCTAGAGCAGGTGGAGAACCTGGGTTTAGAAGCAGGAAGTCATATTTGATGGTGTAAGTTGAGAGGCCCTGCAATAGGAGAGAACAGCCCATTGGGGCTTTTCTACCATTGCATATGCTTTCTCATTCCAAATTGTGAGAATCTTGAAACTTCCCTTTTAATTATTGTGATACTTAGTATACTTTTAAGTATAAACCGAGCTGAAAGAGTTGGAGGTGCATTTGTTTATGAATTCAAACTGCTTTCCTGTGGCTGCTGTTGGTTACCAACCCCTTCCCAACCCTTTGGGTGAGAGATGGCTGAGGGGTGGAGTGTGGGAAGGGGAACACAGTGCTGTGAGTATTGGGAGTTGCTGAGTCAGGCAGGCATGAGTAGGGCCCACATGAAGACCACCCAGCATATCACCAGAACTGTGAGATGAGGACAAGGACAAACCCCACCCGTGCATTAAAGGGACACACAAAAAGCAATTAGAAGGATTGCAAGGCAAGGGGCAGCTGTCTGGAAAGTTTACCTAGAGATGTTCCTGGGTTGGAAGGGAAACCTTTGCTTGTTTTTTTCTTTGGCTTTTCGTTTCCAAAGCATAGAATGTGACTAATGTCATTAGCACTTTAAGCTAGATTAAGTTTTATATAAGTATTCTGTAACCTAGCTGGGGACTCAACCTGTCTTTGTAGTAGCATAGAAAAAGTATATTCCAAATTTCAAAGAGAAAACATGTAAAAATGTTTAGGGATACTAATAATTACATGCTTGAAAACTCTTGATTATTTTTCTAAACTGATCCCTAGCCATACATGGTGGCACATGCCTATAATCCCAGTACTAAGGAGGCTGAGGCAGGAGGATCCCTGTGAGTTCGAGACCAGCCAGGGCTGCATAGTGAGTTCAAGGCCAGTCTGAACTACAGAGCAAGACCCTGTCTCCAAAAAATTTTTTAAAATACATTTTTCTTTATTTATTTTTAATTTTTTTGGTACCGGGAACCGAACTCGGGTCCTTGCGCTTGGCAGGCAGGCGGAAGAACCACTGAGCTAAATTGTCGGCCCCAAAAATACATCTTTCTGTCTATCTTATCTATCTATCAGCTGAACCCTGAAAGCTTTTTGCCTAACATTTAGACAAAACCATTCAGAGCTGAACAATGTGATGACTACAATATATATTACATAAGGGCCGGGGATTTAGCTCAGTGGCTCCGGTGCCTGCCTCTCAAGCGCAAGGTCCTGAGTTCGATCCCCGGTACCAAAAAAAAACAACACACACATATATATTACATAAAGTTCACAATAATGTCAATGTTTATGAAAAATAAGTTGTCTGATTTTTTTCTCACAGAATTTTTAATGCTATTAAATATTTTTTAAAATATTCAGTATGGAACTTACCAGAGTATTTGTATTTTATTTAATGGAAATATTGATTATCTTTGAAACTCAAAATTAAGTAGTAGCTCTATTTTATTAACCTGTATTTTTTAGTATATCAGTGAATCATATTTGGCGCTCTACAGATTCTACCATCTGTATACTGAGATTAATCACTTAACAGTTTACCCCAACTGTCACTGGGGCAGTGTTTGTTTACAGACTGACTACCCGAGTGTCACTTAGGCAGGTGTCATTTCACCCAGTCGATTCTTTGAACTCGGGACCTTGCACAAGCGAGGCAGGTGGTGGAACCACTGAGCTAAATCCCCGGCCCCAGTCGATTCTTGTATTGAATAAATTGATAAAATTGTTGTATTCCTTACTATATTACTTTATAAAAATTAATAAAAAAGCAATATTTGGTCATCCTGTATTTAAATAATTGGACTGGTCGGTGGTTAAGTCACCTGTGCGTATCACATGCTAAGGGGAATTTTCACTTCCACTGAATTGAAAAATTGAGACTTAAAAATTAAATAGAGAGTCAGTGCTTCTATCTACCCTGGATGGTTTTTGATTTATCCTGACCAAATAAACTGGTATAATAGATAAATAATTGATTTCAAGAAATGCTAAATTAATGAATGCTAACACCAAGTTATGGCTTTCATTTTCTGTCACGGAGTTCAAACTTCTGATACTAGAGAAACATGTTATTTCTAAAATTTTTCAAGCTTTTGTGATAACTATTGGAAAATGTGTCAAATGATTCTAAATATTGCCTATATTTCACATATACTGCCCTCAAATATTGCCTTATGCTTCAGTTATACTTCATATAATCCAAATGTAACAATATCTATAAAATACCTGCCTTTATGCAGGGTGGATGTTTATCTCGGACTTCCAGTGATGCCTGAGCCTGTCGTAGCACCAAACCCTATAAACCCTATGTAACACTATTTTATTATCCTATATTCAGGTACTTAGGATAAAGTTTAACTTATAAATCAGGCATGTGGGAGATTAATAGCAACTAGCAATATAATAGAATCATAACACTATACTATAATAAAAGTTATTTAACACTTACGAATTTTTTATTTCTGGATTTCCCATTTAATATTTCCAGACTATGGTTGACCCTGAGTAACTGAAATTGTAGAAAGAAAAACCAAGGCAAAGGGGAGGACTGCTATGATTTTATGCAGTTTGAGAATATTGCTTGCTTAAAACATAATACCATTTCGTGTATTTCCATCATAATCCAATTTGACCTACTTAGGTACATTTCTTACACTTGCCATTATTAAATATATTAAACATTCTTAAATGATCTGGCTATTTGACTTAAGAGTACTTTATATAATATATAACTTTTGCTACTTCTTCGCAATAAATCAAATATTAAATGAGATTTTAGCCAACTAGATATTTTGTCATTGTAGGACTTTTAACTGAAACAGCAAGAAATGATTCCCCAAATTAAAAAATTCAAATACTTCTAAAATGCAAAATATTTGCCATTTATATAATTGATTGTTCATCTGATTGTCTAAATAACTTATTAAGTACAAAAACATTTATTGAATACTACAGATAACTGAAATTCTGTGTTCTTCATTCTAATTTAAATCATTCCTGACTTGATTATGGCAATAAAGTTTTAGACAGAGCAATTCTTACAGGTTTTGAGGCCCGTATACTGGGCCTTTATGAGTCTTCTTCTGATGTCTGCATAAACATACATGCTTATATAGAAATACATTCTGTGTAAATTCCATTTTAAAATTACAGGTGAAGAAACTACAGCTGGGTGTGGTGGTACACACCTAGTCCCAGCTAAGGGGTAGAGGGGTCTCTGAGGCAGGAGGATTGCTTGATCCCATGAGTTTGAGGCTAGCCTGGGTCATATAGTAGAACCCCTGTTTTGTCTTGTTTTGTTTTTTAAAAAAGAACAAGAAGAAGCTATGAGTTTTATATTTGATTATGATAAATTTCAAACCTAAACAGAAGTACAGAAAGTCAACTATGTTGAGAGAAGACCTGGGCCAGTGATGGCGAACTTTTTAGAGACCAAGTGCCAAACTGCAACTCAACACTCACTTATTTATCACAAACGCCAACACTGCAGTTAAACCTGAAGACTGACGCTCTAGTCTAGAAAAAAACAATGCATATATTAACATGTTTCGTCTAAAAAGGAAAACAGTAACGCACATGCCACAAGCTCACCACCCCTGGCCTACACAGGCATGCAGAACTCTCCTCAGCAGAGAGAAAACACTGCCTTTTTCCTCAGTATCCTTTTCATGTTCATATAAATACATTCTACTAATACCCATTTCTAAGGTAGGCATTTTTATCGGTAGATCCAAAACTATACTTATGTGATAAGCCTTTTGAACTTCTGTTATAAGCCTTTTGAACTTCTGTCGTTTTCTCTTAAATTACAATTTCCTTTTATTCCTATTTAAAACTCAAATGTAAAAGATGTGTTTATATGCTTTTTACTCTCACTCACTTTCCTCTTTTCTGTAACCACAGAATGACAGCCTTAAATTTTAATTTCCTGACTTAGCTTGTCATGGTCTTATTTTTTAAAAAAACAGTGAGTTTAAATGAATTTCCCAAGTCATTGTTATTTAAACATATTCACACAACATCAAAGAATTTTAAAATATTATTACTTGTAATCAAAATTCACTTTCTCCCACTGGGGATTTAGCTCAGTGGTTCCGTGGCGTGCCCTGCAAGCTCAAGGCCCCGAGTTCAATTCCCAGTACCAAAAAAAAAAAGTTATTGAAAACTCACTTTCTCCCTTGGCTTTTTGGCTCTGTGTGT